TCTTTAAAGCAATGGTGTAGTAGAAGAATCCTTGAAAGGTAGAAGAAAGATGGTGGACATTGATATGGCTGCAGCTATTGCTGTTTGAGCAGAAGCTTGATGTTTGACCTGCACCTTTTTATTTATTCTTCTTGGAAACCCTAGGATGTATACCTATTTATAGATGAAGGCAGTGAAGACATGTCTTGGCCAGGGTGGAGTTGGTGTCTTCAGAGCTCGCTCCAGGAGAGGACTTGCCGTGTCCTAATTAGGTCAGACTGGTCTCTCTTTTTTCTGTGTTTACAGCTGTGCGAGTCACCACCCTGGCATCCTTCTGGATATCAATTTTCAAAATAAGAGTTTTTCAGAGAAGCTATTTTTCTTCATATATGGAGATCTTTCAGTACTACTTTGGCTGCTTTGTGTGGTATTATTCTACATGTTGGTAGAAAAGACAACAGTGGCCAGTCAGGACAGCTGCTTTGCTCCACAGCCACTGTTGTTGGCCTTGATCCATCTCCAGCCACAGCAGAGAGGGCATGTCCCTGCCCCCCATGCACAGATTAGGGGACAAGTATTCTGAGGAAAGAAGTAGATGATAGGGATGTATCACCTTCATATTCAAACTTTGAACAGAAAATTGCAAACATGCATGTTGGCTATGCATGAGCAAATAACCATGGAAATACCAAAGGTTTCATGTAGCAAAATAAAAAAATGCCAAAGAGATCTGACCTTTGTAAAACTCACGGCCACTGAGTTTGCCTTTTGGCCCCAAAAGTCAAATGATTCCCTGGATTTTGACTTTCATGGTATTCTTTTTTCTGGCTACACTCAGGCTTGGATAATGTTGAGTTTTTAAGGCAGTTCCTCTAATCAATGACAAGACTGTATTGAGCTCTGCACCAAATGATTAATAGGTGCAGGAAGCATGCAGAGAGAACAGTTGGCTCGTTGATCTAAAGCCTGCATTGATACTGATCATTGAGTGCCAATTGATACTATTTGTCAAAATTATTGTCATTAAATTCTAACAGTAAAACTTATTCAGACGAACTGAAATTTAAGAGTTAAGTAACTTACTCAAGGCTATTCAATAAGCAAGGAATAGAGCCAAGATGCAAATCTACATTGTCTGACTTTCAAACCCCAGGGTGTCACCAGCCACATGGAGAAGCAAAAAGGAGCTGGTCCTGATGAAAGTTCTCTGGACAGTATTAGAGAGTAAGATCAAGGAGGGAGAAGTAGTTGGAAACTGAGCAGGAAGTTGTTTACCAAGGACAGCTCTCAGCTTGTGTTCAAAGATGGCCAGGCTGGAAGACCATGTAGACTACGAACCAAACCCTTCATTGCTTAGATCAAGAATCTATGAAGTCAGTTGACTTCTTCAAGGCCCTGTATTTGGCTGGTGAAAGACCTAAGGATTCAACCAGCATTTGGGGGCTTAGAGTCCAGGTTTTTCATTTGTTTTTTCCTGACAGTGGCCTTGGGCAAGGTCAGAAGAACAAGATCATCAGCCCAAATTTCCTGTGAGGCACAGGAAAGATGTTAGGGAGGCCTCAGCCTGTGGGACAGCTACTTACCCACACAGAAGCCAATCTCCACTTCTCTGTCCCCACTCCCATCACCAGGCCCAGAGCCTAGGGATAAAGGCTAACCTGATAGAAAAGTTGAGAAAACAATAAAGTGCTCCAGATTCCATTGAAGAAGATAAGGTTGCAGCATTGATTCAACTTGGGAAAAAGCTCAAAGCAAAAAGTCCTGATGCAGATTCTAATATATTCCAGGCCATGTCATCAGAGACTCAACGGACAACAGGATCATTAACCTGAAATGAGATTAGTCCTCTTAGAAGTTATTTTTTAAATATTTATTTTAGTTGTAGGTGGACACAATACCTTTATTTTATTTATTTATTTTTATGTGGTGCTAAGGATGGAACCCAGTGCCTCATGCGTTCTGGGCAAGTGCACTACCACTGAGCTACAACTCTGACCCTCATTAGAAGTTATTATAGGCAAATTCTGTAAATCTGTGAGATTAGAGAACATATAAGAATGTGTAAGTCTCGGTCCCATTCCACTGAATGGAGCCTCCGCTGCCATGGATGAGATCGAAAGCCTTCGCAATATGCTGGGCCCATCGGCCTCGGATTGGTCTATTTTGATCCTCAGCAGGCAGCAGATGCAGGAGCTGGAGGCACACTTCCTGAGGGACCCCTTTCCATCCCACGGTACCCTGGTGGTCCTGGCCTCCTGCCTTGCCCTAGAGGAGCAACATGTGAAGAATTGGTTTAGGGTGTAACAGAAGATATACCCAAACCCTGAACCAGGCTATCAGCCATTTGCATGACTCCTCAGCCGGCTCATCCTGGGCACACTCAACCTGGGCACACTCAAGCTAGACCATCCTGGTCTAGCTTCTGTTGTACATGCCCATCCTGCAAAGATGTCCACTACCCCAGCCCCAGAAGACCCAGAAAGTTCTCCGGGCCCAGGCCTGTGGGAACCTCTGGGGCAGTGCCCAGGAGAGTGCCTGGCCCCTTAGGGGAGAGGATGAGGAACTAGAAGTTGCCTTGAAGAGACTCTCCACTGCAAAGCCTGAGGAAGGTGACCTTGAAGACCAGACAAATCAGGTCAAGGAGATTTCTGAGTGGATGGGGGTTCTGCACCTGCCCCATTCCAAAGGTCCCACAAGTCCTCACTCTGGCTACTATTTCATCTAATTGCTGTTTCCACCTGTCATTTGCGTCACCTGGGAGTGTCTGGGTCTCCAGTCTAGGAGTGGAATGAGTGTTCCTGGGTGCACTTCCTTCCCTTGATGCTGCCCCTGCCCCTAGCCAATTTTATCACTTATCTTTCCTAATTTATGGGGATCTTGGTCTGCAACCCAGTGCAGCGGCTGCCTGCATCTCCAGGAATGAAGGACCTGTGCTCTCCAACAAGGATTTTCCCACAGTCCTCTGCTGACAGCCACACCCACATCAGATCTTCATCCCCTACCTGCATCTTTTAGATACCATATCCAATACAATTTCATCATTGGGAAATAGTTTGGAGCTTTGTCTTAATTTCGGTATTTTTTTCCTCTTATTTCCTTTTAGTCTTTGCTTTGTTACTTGTTGGAGGTTATTTTTCTGTTTGATTTTCCTCGATTTTCAATAAATTTTCTTCTTTTGATTCAGTGAAAAAAAAAAAAAAGAAAGAAAGAATGTGTAAGCCTCTCCTTTAGCCACTGCCAAGGCTGGGAATCTGAATGCCCTGTCCCCAGCTGCCCTCATCCTTCCCCTCTCTTCTCCACACCAAAGCCAAAGGTGACCTTTTCAGTTCATAGCTTGGTGATGCCCTTCCCTCACTACCTGCCTCCAAGTGACCTTCATCATAAATATCAAACTGCTGATCCCAGCACAAAAGCTCCTGAGGATTCAACATCCCTGTGCCTCCTGTTCTACCCCCCTGCCATTAGAAAAAAAATATTTACACACGCACACACACACACACACACACATTCTCCCCTTCCTGCTCAAGAGCTCTTAATGGAGTTCATCTTCAAGCCACACAGCTCTGGCTGTATCACCCCCAGAATCAGTGCTTTTGCACCTACTGATAGGCTCTCCCACTCTGTCCCCTTTCATTTCCTCAGCCTCTCATTGTCCTTCATGTGTTTGTCCTTCCAATTCTAGGAATCTATGCTAAAGAAATACTTGCACAGGTGCACAAAGATATATGTACATAGATGCTCATTGCTTCATTTTTTGCGTTAGAGAGAATATTTTAAAAAAAGCCATCAGTGGGTTAAATAACTTATGTCCATCTATTTTGTGATTACTGTAGAGCTGGAAAAAAAAATAGTGGCAGGTCCAGTACAGATTAAAATGGAAAGATCACCATGGTATGTTGTACTGGAGAGTTCCCAGGTCAAGGTGACACAGGATTTTACCTAGTGGGTGACCTCTCCTATACCCCAGTTAAGCATCTAGAGTAGGGGCTGGAAAAAGTGTAAGGAGGGAGTTTAATATCAGTGTACCCCAGATTCCTCAAAAACCAAAGTCTCCCTTAACAAACCCCACGCTGGGTAATCAAGTCATATCTGATAGAAACTGATACATATTTGTGATCTGTTCTTCCCTAATGAAAATTCAACTTTGTCACTTTCATTGACTAAATCAGAAATCGTTTTGTGATTTTTACAAAGTTATACTGAACTCAGATGAGTCCAGTGCAGCTATGTCCCTGGGCATATTGGATCAGGAGTCAGAAAATCTGCAGATTTTTAATTTGCCATTGACTAAATCTCTAACTTATTTTTATTTAACTTTAAGACCCTTCCTTTACTCATGCATGCATTGAGGGAGGTTGACAAAATAGTCAGCCTCTTTGAGGGCTCTTTGTTGCAAGGTTCTATTGGTCTATTACTCTTGAGGCTTGTGCAATGTTAATAAGAATGATAATTTCAACCTTTATATTCTAACCCCCTTATGTGTAGTAACCATCTTAAATCTCATAACAACTATATGAAATAAATACTTCATCTACATTTTAAGGGATAAGACACCAACATCACAGATTACTAGATTGTCCAAAGTCACACAACTAAAACATCGTGAAGCAACAACCTAAGTCCAGGCATTGCAACTCCAGAATCCATGATTCTCACCATTATGTTAGATTGCAATTAACAGCAACCTTTTATCTTGCTGCACAATTTAAAGATCTATACCAAAAAAAATTGGTGTCAAGAAAACAAATCTGAAGAGCCAATATGAAAAATATAGATAAATGTGGGGAAATTATCTGTAAAGCCAAAATGCAAACGGCAACCCAAAGTTCTACTTAACTACTTCAGCATTTTGATAACATATCTCTTCTATATACCATAAAGTAACAATAGCTATATACTTCTGTGTAACAACAAATGCAAGAAAAAAGATGTCACTGCTACTGCATTTGTAGGCAATTTTTATCTGAAAATAACACCATCAGGTACACATGGCATTGATGCTTTCAATTTTAATTTCACAGATGAAAGAGCTTGGTGTCATCTTCTACAACTGCAGCTGCCTGGTCCTAGATTTACAAAGGATATTTGCTTTATATAGTTCATTAAAATTCAAAAGCAGAGTACCTCAGACCTGGTCCAAGAGGCTCTATGGAGTCTACGACAATGAAAAGAAATTGCAACTTCAGCTGAACGACACCAAATCTCAAGCATTTGTGTCGGTGAGTTGTCTGCCTTCTTTCTCACCCCTTCCCTCTCTTTCTTCCTCTAAAGGTTCTTTATTAAGTGTGAATGTTTCAGTGTGATCTTACACTGAACAAAAAAGAATTAGACAGATTAGTTCTATTGTATCCCTCGAGGAGTTCAAATGTGTGCTCTCATATCCTCTGTCACATGCTGTCCCCAGTAATAACAATGACACATCTTAATAATCATTCCTGGGGCTGGGGATGTGGTGGGGCTGGGGATGTGGCTCAAGCGGTAACGCGCTCGCCTGGCGTGTGCGGGGTGCTGGGTTCGATCCTCAGCACCACATAAAAATAAAATAAAGATGTTGTGTCCACCAAAAACTAAAAATTTTTTTAATAAATAAATAAATAATCATTCCTGGTTTCAGATACTTTGGGTTGCCAGATTTTGTCCCCACAGTCATCCCATAAGGTAGACATGAGATTGTGAGTATTTTACGAATAAAGATGTTAACACAAGGGAAGTCCATTTTGGTCTTTTGGCACTAAAGCTGATCATCCTGTTTTCCATGCCCTATATAAATTATTTTTCAGATGTTTTATCAGAAGAACTCTTTGATGAGATAAATACAAGGGAATCCCAGTATATGAGACAGACAAAAGCAGAGATACTGAATTTAATTGGAGCTGGAAAAGGCCCACTCAGCAGGACAAGGCTTCTTACGCTCTGCTTCTAGATCTCCAATTCAACTCCATTGAAAACCAACAACTTCCCCGTCCCCTGCCATCATTACCTCCCTGGGCCACCACACTACTGCCCACACTCCACAACTATCCTGCAGAGATATGGGGAGCATACAGCATAGCTACTCAAACTTCCATATACCTAAGAATCAGCTACAGGGTCTGTTAAAATGGAGATTGACAATCCCTCCTCTCCCACCCAGGAACTGATCCACTCCACTCTCATCCATCTGGGGTGAGATCTTAGAGGTGTAACTTTGAATCAGACTTCTAAATTGATCCTGATACTCCAAGAAACTTCTCCAAAAAAATTTAATATTGTGCTGCTTTTTCTCCCTTGATTGATATCAGTGCTTTTATGCCAACCACTTTTATGTGACTAAAGAGCATTTTATTGAAGAGTGAATTATATGCTTTTTGCCTGTTCACATGAAATCACAATCCAAACATTTACAAAGGTAGTACTAGAGGGGGAAAGGAAGTTAAAGTTGTTTGTCTTAAATAACAAATTTGCATACATATGAATATTAGAAAATGGACTATTAAGGATTTTCATCAAATAAAACTTTAAGAACTCTTGTTTTCTTTTTTTAAAAAATGTTAATGTGGAGGTCAAGAATGACAGTAGCAAGTAGCATATTGCATAGGGCCTTGTACTAACAAAACTATTTCATTTACACATTTCATTTGTCTCAAGAGCCTGTGTGTAAGGCCAGAAGACCAGTTCATATATGAACAGTGAAATGAAACAGGGTGAAATGATGCCCCAAGCAAGCAGACCAGCAGAACGGAATAGAAACAACAAGACATAGCTGGAATGAACATATTTTGGTTAATCACTGGATTTTGAATTTAAAATTTGAATCTTAGAAATAAGTGAATGAGGTTGTTCATAAATTTAGATTTTGACCCTTAAAAAGGGAAGGAGTTAAGTGGCCTCAGGTCTTTAATAAAATTTATAGAAGTTAAAAGCTTCTGTTGTATTCTAGGACAAATTTAGAAGTTGTTTTTTATTAAAAGAGTTAGCCACAAATTGAGTTGTAAAACATTTACTCAGGTAATCTCTCAAACTATGCAATGCTTTTATTTTCTATTTTCATTTATTTATTTTAATCTATTATTTTATTTTCTATTTCTTATTAAACTAAGTTTTAATTCAACAGATATTGATTGAAAATCATTTTTAAGAGTTATAAAACTTTACAGATTTTTTTTAAGTCAGAAAACTTCTGCTATTGAAATTGAGCTTCTTGATCTCACCTCTATTTTAAAATATCACATTTTTATTGCTATGTGCTTATCATCATTTTTCCCACTAATTTATAAGGCTCTGAAGATGATATGCTACATTCTCTTTGTCATTGGTATTCCCACCACTTCACCTGAGTCCTCTCTAAAATCAGCAATAAATGTTGGATTGAATTTATTAGTAGTAATATTAATGGAAATTTCCAGAATGCACATAGTTTTTTTCAGTAGCATATAACAAATGACAAGAAAAAAATTATTTAAGCTCAATGTATTTGTTGTAAAACAACTTTTTAAAAAAAAATATTTATTAATTTATTTTACAGTAGAATAAATCTTGACATATTATACACAAATGGAGCACAACTTCTCATTCCTCTGGGTGTGCGTGGAGCAGAGTCACTCCATTAATGTAATCATACATGTATATAGGGTAATAATGTCTGTCTCAGTCTATCATCTTTCCTATCTCCACAACCCCACCCCTTCCCTCACTCCCTTCTACACAAACAAAAGTTCCTTCATTCTTCTCTATCCCCCTGCCCAACTATGGATCAGCATCTGCTTATCAGAGAAAACATTCAGCTTTTGGTTTGGGGGAGATTAGTTTATTTCACTTAGCAAGGTATTCTTTAGTTCCATCTATTTACCTGCAAATACCATAATTTCATTCTTCTTTAAGGCTGAGTATTATTCCATTGTGTATGTGTACCATATTTTCTTTATCTATTCATCTGTTGAAGGGCACCTAAATTGGTTGCATAGTTTAGCTATTGTGAATTGAACTGCTATAAACACTGATGTGACTGAGTCACTATAGTATGCTGATTTTAAGTCCCTTGGGTATAAACTGGGATAGCTAGGTCAAATGGTGGTCCCATTCCAATTTTTATGAGAAATTCCACACTATTTTCCAAAGTAGTTACACCAATTTGCAGTCCCACCAGCAATGTAAGAGTGTACTTTTCCGCCCCCACATACTCTCCAACACTTATAATTGTTTGTATTCTTGATAACTGCCATTATGACTGGTGTGAAATGAAATCTTAGAGTAGTTTTGATTTGCATTTCTCTAATTACTAGAGATGTTGAATTTTTTTTCATGCATCTGTTGATCAATTGTATTTCTTCTTCTGTGAATTGTCTGTTCAGTTCCTTAGCCGATTTATTGATTGGGTTATTTGGTTTTCCTTTTCTTTTCTTTTTTTTTTTTTTGGTGTTAAGTTTTTTGAGTTCTTTATTATCCTGGAGATTAGTGCTCTGTCTGAGGTGAATGGGGTAAACATTTTTTGACATTCTGTAGGCTCTCTCATCACATTACTGATTATTCTGATTGTTTCCTTTTCTGAGAAGAAGCTTTTTAGTTTGAATCTATCCATTTATTGATTCTTTTTTTTTTTTAGGCGCATGCCACCACATGTGGATCAGAATAAATATTTTAATTGGCAATTTTTTTTTCTATTTGAAAAAGTCATTTCCTATTGATGGTAAACTTTCTTTTTATCATTATTTTTATTCTAAGTGACAATTAATATGAAATTGCATGTTCTATTTTCAGAATTCATTTCCCTATACAAAAACTCACCTTGGCTCTATTTTGACAAAGGTATATATATATATATATATATATATATATATATATATATATATATATAGACACACACACACACATACACACACACACACACACATATATATATATATATATATATATATACATTTATTGATTCTTGATTTACTTCTTGTGGTTTCAGAGTCTCGTTCAGGAAGTCAGACCCTAAACCAACATGATGAAGATTTGGGCCTACTTTTTCTTCTATTAGTCAATGCCTAATAGAAGTGGCTATTAGTTCCAATGCCTAAGTTTTTGACTCACTTTGAGTTGATTTTTGTGCAGGGTGAGAGTTAGAGGTTTAATTTCATTTTGCTACATATGGATTTCCAGTTTTCCCAGCATCATTTGTTGAAAAGGCTATCTTTCTCCATGTATGTTTTTGGAGCCTAGTATGAGACAGCTATATTTATGTGGATTTGTCTCTGTGTCTTCTATTTTATACCACTGGTCTACAAGTCTATTTTAATACAATTTCATGCCGTTTTTTTGTTCTTGTTTTTGTTTAAAGGGTTTTTTTTTTTGGGGGGGGGAGTTAATCTTTATTTATTTTTATTTATTTATTCATTTATTTTTTATGTGGTGCTGAGGATCGAACCCAGGGCCTCACGCATGCGAGGCAAGCGCTCTACCACTGAGCCACAATGCTAGCCCCCCTTGCCGTTTTTGTTACTATTGCTCTACAGTGTAGTTTAAGGTCTGGTAGTGATGCCTGCTGCCTCATTCTTCTTGTTAAGGACTGCCTCAGTTATTCTGGGTCTCTTATTTTTCCAAATGAATTTCATGATTGCTTTTTCTAGTTCTATGAATAACGTTATTGGGATTTTAATAGGAATTGTATTAAATCTGTATAGCAGTTTTAGTAGTATGGCCATTTTGATTATATTAATTTTGCCTATACAAGAGCATGGGAGATCTTTCCATCTTCTAAGGTCTTCTTCAATTTCTTTCTTTAATGTAGAAGACTTTCACCTCTTTTGTTAGATTTATTCCAAATTTTTTTGAGGCTATTGTGAATGGGGCAAATTCTGAAGATTTCTCTTGCAGTGGATTCATCACTTCTGTATAGAAAGGCATTTGATTTTTATGGGTATTGATTTTATATCCTGCTACTTTGCTGAATTCATTTATTAAATCTAGAAGTTTGCTGATGGAATTGTTTGGATCTTCTAAATATAGAATCATGTCATCACCAAATAGTGATAGTTTGAGTTCTTCTTTTCCTATGCTTATCACTTCAATTTCTTTCATCTGTCTGCTTGCTGTAGCTGGAGTTTCCAGGACTGTGTTGAATAGCAGTGGTGAAAGAGGTCATCCCTGTCTTGTTCCTTTTTTAGAGGGAATGCTTTCAATTTTTCTCCATTTAGAATAATGTTGGCCTTGGGCTTAGCATTGATAGCTTTTATAATGTTGAGGTATGTGCCTACTA